CTCATCAAATATTTGGTAGTAGTGTACTTGCTATTAGTATTCAGAATTATGTGAGAGTCCTTAATTTGAATAAATTAGCTACCCAGTGTCTGAATTCTCGGGTATTTTATTATCATGCTAATGTAAATTCCTGACGACAAACCTATTAAATTAAGATCGAACTACTTTTATCATAATAAAAAATTTTCTTACTTCTGGGTATCATGATCTTAACCAAGTAGTCCATTTGTATTCAGCTTTTCGAATAATCCATTTAATGTCATAAATTTAACATTGAAAAGAAAGTGATGTGAATTGACTAAATTTTTCTTTGTTCAGTTAACAAGTCACAGTACCACAGATATTCATCCATAATAACAATGATGATTTTTTTCTTAATTAAATGGATAGTTCAACGATAAAATTCTCATAACACGCAATGTGGCCAACATAAATGTCAATATTGATTATTTTTCCATTACGAGTCTAGCGCCTCGTCGATTAATCAATTAGAGCAGTATTAAGGTTATTACAGACTGTATATATGATTCCTAACCTTGAAACTGTTTGATATTTACCTTATTTGCCCACAAGCCCAATTATTATCTTCATGACTTATTTTCTTGTGGATTTAAGACATATCTGTCAGTTGGTAGAGGTAGTAAACAAATACAAGGTATAAAAAACAAATCATAAACCATGGTAATATGACCATTAACTGTAAAAACACAATACGCACCACCAGAAAAAGACAATTGATGGAAAGAAAAAGTGACACTATTTTATCAGAGGAAATTACGGTTGATAAGGGAAACAACATCCTCATCAATATAATATAGATTTATCGAAAGCATTATTAAAACCATTCACCATCTCAGTAAAAATTTCGTTCCATTACAATACAAAGAATTGTCCAATTAAAACATGGAGTCAGGTAACATTTCCACCCTGAAATCCAATATTTGTTATATTTCTGAGATAAATAACAATTGGTATATACAGAATTAAGTGAAATTAAGGCTAAACGAACAATTAACGAAGCTAATGACTGAAAAATTTAGCTTTAAATTAAAACAAGTACAGTTTAATAAGGAAAGTATAATAATCTATTTTTCCTTCCAGCCTACGCTAATAAAGTTGCTATCTGAAACATAACAGCCACTTTCAGAACTAATGCATCCGTCTAGACTATCTATCATTCAGTGCTATGAAACTAAATAAAGTTTCTGACAGTGTTATCCAGAGGAGAGATAACATACAAATGATAGGTGTATAACGAAAAAATTATGAATCCTTGGTTTTTGGAACGGTTTGATATATCTCGTTGTTGATTTTTTTACTGAAATTTGATACGTCTTGGATAGCATATGGACATCCTATGAGGACTGCCCAAACTGATGAAATTTCATTAAAAATATACCACCAACGGAATAATTTAATTTATTTCAAATTGAATTAAATATCATACCCGTTGTATGAGTGGCTATATGGTCTCAGGAGCTAAATGGGTAATGAAATGGCGTTTGAAGCGAACGATACTGGGTTCGAGTCTTGGAATGAACATCAACTCTGAGATGCAGGTATATTTAGCTGACGGGTTCCAAATAGGAAACAACTCGCGTCCTTGATTAAACTGCTAGCTACGTTCCACCTATTGTATATCAACTTGTGTCATAATGAGTATAACAAGGTAATCCTCACAAGATACCCATATGCCAACTAAGACTAATCAAATTTCAGTCTAAAATATAAGTCCCTGAGCTGTATTGGGGCTCGTGTGATTTGGTCGTAATTGAAGAAGATTAGTCGTACAATTTAGTTCGTGTATTGATTAATTCTCTTGGATTGTCTGTACATTGCCAATGACCCTCTATTAATCAATGAGATAACAGTCGAGAACAACACTTAACGAATACTGTTTCAGAATGCAGTTCACGTCCGATAGATAGAACAGAACACATCATAGCAAGTAGGTAACTTATAAATATACAGCTCGAGTTTATAAATCAATTCATATAATAATAATAATAATAATAATAATAATAATAATAATAATAATAATATATAATAAAATTTTGACCACACATAAACATAATTAAATGACAATATATGCACAACTAAGCTATACGTGGAAGAGAATTAAGTGGCAGATTCATAATTAATTAACTATAACTTAAGGAAGCCAGCCTACGAGACGTAAGTAAGGTTACGAGTAAAGGGAAGACATAGATACAATAATCCAATGGTAATTTTACAACAAAAATGCAAATAACTATTTCAAGATGAATTGAAGCTAGCTTCAATTGACTCATGATCTCAACCATTAAAATTATTGACTTATCGTTGATAGGGTAGGATCTATGATTAACATGAATTCATTTTCAATAAACAAAATTTTCAAGAGTATTTTAAAATAGATGCGTTGCAGTTGCTTGTGGAATGCAGGAAGCATTTGACCGCTCAACATTTTGTTCAGTGAGTCAGCATTCAACGGTCTATATTTCTAACTTCAGTTAATTAGCGTTATTGAGAAATTATCTTCCAATACCATTGGTAGGTAAGTGCCTCATGTACAGCAGAGTTGAACAATGACTACAGCTTCGTCAATAGAACCCTGAGGATTACCTTTAAAAATAAGCCACTAGTTAGTACATGATTTCTATTAATGTAAGGCGTTTGTTTTTCTTTCAACTAGTCAACAAGTAATCAACTGAATAGTTCATTTTCGCCATGAAAAATCACCGTCAAAACGAACCTTAAGAATTGTGGTTGAGCACTGCTGAGGAGTCCTATTCTAGGACAAAATAGATGTTAAATGATTATTTGTTTCCAGTGGTTATTTAACTAGGGTCGATTCGCAATTTAAACAATGAAACTCAACAATCTACGCAAGCCTCTTAAGCCAATAAAGAATATAATTCGGAAAGCAACCCCCTTCATCTTCGCCTGAACAAACATTAGTTAGCAATCAAACACCATGACATATCCTCGCTTATATCGATGCATGTGGACAACTTTGGGTGTACCCCTAACTGGGAAAATGTTGAGGTCTTAGATAGAGGGATTACTAAAGACACCGCGTAATTTTTGGAAGCTTAGGATTCAGATCAATCAGCAGTCAACAAACACATCGAAATCGACCCAATCTACCAACTAATCAGGAAACTCAAGGACAAATATAGGACCAAGAATCAGATCAACGAGAGATACGATCGAAGTAAAGAGGTAAACAATGACAGGTTAAAGATCAACGAAAACCAGTCAAAATCGAAGTCGACGGGACAAGCTGTGAGCGGAGAAATTCGAACACCACTTCTACCCGACATTTGTGCTGATGATGTTGTTCAGAAGAACAATGAAAGCTGTATGACCAAACCATCCAGCTCAGAGAACAAAGCTCCACCTAAATAAACCTAAAGCACCCAACAGTAACCTATGTGCAGCACTCCTGATTAATGATAGGCAGATTGATACCATATCTGCACCACAAGTTGAAAAAGGTATATCAGGCTTTATGAATCTCCATCAAGATGTCATCAGCAACCGACTTAACAAGGATGATGCAACTTTAACATTAACACATCAGACTTTACTTTATACGACTAGACTAGTCGGTAAATTTGAAGCATACTGGTGAACAACCTTAAATTCATAATCCGTTTTGCCAATCAGGAGACAGGAAAGGTAAATGAACGACTTACAGTCCTAGGACATGCGATTAGGATAAATATTTTAGAATTCTTACATAACAAATAATGTTAGTTCGTCATGAAAATCCTAACCCTGATTCTTAATACAAACTTCTGACCCTATTTTGATGTTTGTGTAATAACTTTGAAGCTGCTTTCTCGATACTCATTGGTATGGCAGTATACTTTGAGGTTAACCAAAAAGTCATGGACGCGGATTAGTTCTGAAACGACATTTTAGATTTAGATGATGTGGGTCACATCTTGAACATTTTTGTACTGTCGCTCAAGATATTCAGAAGAATATGTTTCCTTCAGAATCTTTATCAAACACTTCTGTGTCATCTGAATACTTCAAATCGCTCAAAGGAACTCCGGGTAAAAGAATAATCCTTTAGAAGTCAAACAATAAAAAGTTTACTTCTAAGGCTATACCTACAGTGAAATTGAATAATAATGAATAAAGACACCACTGAACGTCTTTAATTCTCGTAGAAATTCCATCACTACTTATCCTGAAGATAATTCCCAGGTTGCTTTTCCAACTAATGGGAAGGATTGATCTCAGTGAATTCAAACAAATAATACTGAGTGTCTTAGGAAACTTATCTGATATAATATAGTCACTTAAACAGATTATTTAACAAACCACAATGTTTCCCAGTAAAATTAAATGATGCGTTAGCTACCTAATTTGTAAATGAGTACTTCGGGTTTATACAATTAATTGTACGGTACATGAACATGGGGTTCGACTGTGAATGAAGTGCATGAGTAGCATTAGAAGTATGGTGCTTTTCATTTTCCAGTTGCCCACATTGTGGAAGGATACTTATTCTTGAAGGACCTGGAAAAGAAACTGAGTAGGAAGTAACCCTAGAGCCCTGGGAACAGCTCCTTAACACCAAACTTAGTTGGTTTGCCAGTATTTTTGCATATGTTAGCTGCATATTTTTCAGGCCTGACCAGTAGTAACGGACACCTATGAAACAAGGTGAGATGTGCTATTTGACGGGTCGGCTTTTTCTAACCACACTATTTCGTTGCAAGAACGAAACTTCACTGTCGATACTGGCTATTTTGTGTTAATAGCTTACAACCATCAGTATTTACTTTTCCCTTTGACTTTGAACTACCTGCTTTTAGTTTTACTGTTCTCCAACCAACCTACACGGTGTGGCAGGACCTAAAGAAACGAGTGTTCCAATTAAGATGGTACAATTGGGTTATCACGACATATAAGGCCAGCCACCCCGCCAGGGTAGCAGCTATAATCGGATTGTACGCCACATAAATATAACTAATTCAACGAACAACAAAGATTCCACAATTAAATTTCAAAAAAGTTTTTTTATTATACATAATGTACGGTTTGAAAAAGTCTCTATATATCATTAAACTATTTAAAATAATTTAGAAAATAATGCCATTTCTGATTTTTCTCAGAAAAATTACAACAGGATGAAGACAAGGAACAATTAATAGGTGAGGAATGTGAACTGATTGCGCAATTGCTTTTTCCCAAATACAAGTTTATTTAAGAAGATGAAGACTATGTTGAAGCATACACGTTATTTTCAGTTTAAATACAACTGAAGTTAGTAATAGTAAATCATAACACAGTCATAAGGTTGTAAAAGGAAAAACAAACACATGAGGTAATGTTTGTTTGTGTCGATGTTTTATATGATAACTTTATAATAAACATACAGAAACCGAACAAATGCTTGAATGGAAAATATTAACAAGATGACAAAAAGGTAGGCAAGAGAAAAAATTTGGAATATAAGCAGTTTCATCTTTTTTATATTTAATTTTTTAAGCATCTTTAGAATTAAATTTATCTTGACTTGATACAACACTATCTGAACGATCTGAACTTAAAATTTCTGTATTAAGATTATTTAATTCATGAGTAGTTGGAGTATTTGATCGACTGAATGACAATTTTTTAATTTTAGATCCTAAACGGTGAAATGATGATCCTACTGAAGTAATTAATGTATCAGGATGTAAATGTGGACTCTGTTGATCAGGTGTTAAAGAGCGTAGTGAAGGAGACAACTTTAAATTACCTTCTTTTGTAGCTTCAGCTACTTCCAATGATCCAATAAAGGCTGTATGTGACGGTTTACGTTGACGAGTAGGTGGTAATTCAGGCCAAGGTGATTCATTATCCATAGGTGATTCAAAAGTATGAGGTGTTGATAGATCATTTTCATCATACGAATTAGGTGACAGAAAACTGCCTCTTCGACTACCACCTTTTGACTTTGAACTAATTCTTCTTTGACGACTACCAGGGATATTAAGTCGACTATAATAATCTGAATCACTGACAGCAGTACCATCAGTATGATCATCATCATCAGTTTCAATATCGATTTTACAACCAGATTTAACTAATTCAGGGATTAAATTCGAATCGGAAATACATGTATCTACAAAATATAAACTTGTATTTAAATTTCTTTCCAACAATGGAACAACTTCAAAATCATCATCATCTAAACCGAACGGTGAAACAAGTGATTCAGCTACTTTAAGCCAGCCATTGTAAAAAATAAAAGAAAGAATTGTGAATACTGGGATATTTGGTAATACTCTAGGAAATGATAAACCACTAGTGATATTTGTATCATTGGCAGGATTGTTGAGAATACCACTACTGACATCATTATTATTGCTGACAGATGTTAAATTAGATGAATTGACTTTGGTTGACATATGCGGTAGGATTAAAGGGGCATCAATAAACTGATGACCGAAAATTGTAACAGCAAAGTAAATGTACACAGCCAGAGCTACAACCTGTGAAAAATGGAATTGAAAATTCGCAAAATCTACAAATTAATGTTAAACCACGAGTTTACTCTCAAATAAGAATATTTGTAAAAGAAATAAACAACCAATACCAACATAATTTCATGGTTTGTATCATGAACCGCTCTTAGATAACAATTGAAAACCGAAAAGAAATTGACAACTGTTTCGTCCTAGCATTCACAACCCAAACAATGATTGAACCCAAAACCTTTAGGTCTCGTAGTGAGCACTTAACCTTTAGACCATTTGGTCGGCAGCCGATTATTTTCATTATTAAATTCAGTAAATGCGCAATATAATTTCCCTCACTATTTGCGTCTAACACGATCTGTACATTATGAAACATATGACAAAAGCCATCTACTCAGTATAAAACATTGATGGGTAAGGTTTGGAAAGTATACATAGCGTACATAAGTTAATATATCATATAAAACTTAATGACAAATATCTCTTGTGTCAGAATATCAACGATTCATTAGGATTAGTAATAAATGAGAAGAATACATTATTACATTAATCTTGAAGTTAAAAACTTATCACAACTTGAAATATCTGTTCGAACAATTGAAAAACTTAACATAATCTCTAAAGTTAACAGTAATACGTCCGTCTGGTGACCCAAAAACGAATATAATCAGCAGAAGTTTGCCTTCCTTGATTTAATGTCTGAGAGAAGTAGCCTTTAAAAATGGAGGATATTTGTAGATTACTAGCATTCGATTGTAGGTATCTTCGAAGCATCGTTCGTATATAATGGTACCATATAGTTGGCAATTCTGGGGTTGGACGCAGGCTACCATGTAACGGTGGAAACTGATAAGTGAGGTAGTGAATCATCATTGACTGAGGTAGTCAGGATATGTCATACGTACGCCTGATTACCGCCTACCTTGGCTGGAGATGGTGGTTCGTTTAGGGGTAAGTTGGAGGAAAGCTGGGAAGCTAGAATGAAAGGCGACATCAGTTTACGAAGTTGGAATGATACGTGTAGGTAAGTGTAGACTACTCAAAGGTGATCCGCGCGATAACCGCGATTAGTGGTTGGAAACTTTGGGTCACATGACTTAAAATCATTTGTAATGGTACAGGTACATTCACTCTCGGTTTTTCCTGAGATCCTAAGTTTTTTTAATTACTTTAAAAGCTTTTATCTTTTTATTCTAAGGATACATTATTTCTTATAGTTATTTGGTCTATATCAAATATTTTCTACCGCCACTGATAGTATTACTACTTATTCTACTCTGACATCTCGCTAACCTGACATGGTTTGGCAACTTGAACCAATGCACATATGTGCTAGGTTTTACGTTAAATATGACTGACTTTTCTAAGAATCGATATTTTCTAATGAGTTAACCTTTTATTATAACAAGGAATAAAGTATAATCCGTAGATATCCATATGCTAGCTTATCTTGCTCAGTTCTTCTTCCAAACAACTTGCCAAAACCTGTTGGTCTACGAAACATTCGAAGTGTCTAAATAGTATAAATTCTGGCATTACCAGTTATATAGGACTATGCACAACCAACCTTATTGTCTAATCTGATTTATAGTTAATAAATACATAAGCAGTCGCTACTGGGTCGTTCGCATTTCATGTCCATATCCCCCTTCGTTTTATTTCCAAAAGTTAAATTTGCAGAGTATAACAACTTTTGATCCTAAACATAATTAAAATTCACTTAACCTATTACTCACTAGATTTTCGTTCCTTACTGACTTTCCATTAGCCTTTATGTAGTATTGTATGTAAATCTATATAAGCTTTCACATAAAATCATGTTTGTTCTAATAGTGATCAGTCGTCATGCATATGATATTTGCTTTTTAGCAACTGAATGTTGAAGAATTTCATAAAGTTGATAAGCCGTTATTGTCACCCAAAGTGAAACATGTGTATCTAATTGAATCGCCAAGCAACAACTTACCTCACCAAAGCAAAATGAAAGTGACTGGATGAATGGCACAATAGCTAATAGGGTAGTCGGGCCGATTATAACAAAAAATTCTAAACTTTAGAGAGCATGAGTCGAACTGAGTTCGCAGAGTAAAAAACGAGACATGACATTGAAACTTGAGATTTAGGGAAAGATAAAGAGTGAAAGCATTTGTTTAACTAGGTCACCTAAAAAACTGAAACAATTAATCACGATTATTCCATGGACCGAAATTAGGTAGTCTACAACTACCAACACAGTCCTAGTCCATTCTTGATGATAAAATACTGTAAATAATTGAGAAATTTGTGCATTTTGGTAGATCCGTGGATGGTGGTAACAAATAAAGTCGCAGATATACAGTTTGGGTCACCTTTGTTGCCATCCTGATATTATTTTGGTTGATAAACTTCGATTGTTCAACACTGTCTAGCGCGACAGATTAACCTTCAATCTATTAAGATCTGACCTCTTCACATTAAGAGTTTTCGATTAATATGTTTGACTGATATTGCTGTGATAGTATCTCTCGTTTGGTGGTAACATTACATAATTAATAAAGACGTAGTGATTACCAAAATGGATCCTGCCACATATGCGTGTTAAACGAATTTTTCATGCATCACCATGACGAGATAAAATTAACGAAATGAGAACCAAAAAATAAGAAATAATAGTGATATCAATGATAGTGAAAAAAATAAAGCTTGGAGAATATGGTTTGAAAAGAAGAGATGAAAAAACAGGAAGTGAGAAATAATATTGTAGCTCGAGACATAATGGAAAATAAAGAATGAATGCATTTGAACTAACGTAACCAACATTGAACCATGTTACCCAACATTAAGTGAAGTTATTATCCTGGGGATCTGACTCTGTAAACCGAGAGTTTCTGTGGCAGTATCTGTCATTGGAAGGCGTACCTCAGAAGTACATAAACCTTGTGAAGGCTCTTTACTCAAACACTAGCAGTCGAGTCAGAACTTATGGCGAACTGTCATCTGATTTCGCAATCTCAAGTAATGTCCGGCAAGGTTGTCCACTATCCCTATTTCTGTTCACTTTCATCATAGACCTACTGCTGAAAATAACGTTCTCGTTGACCGGATTAACAGAAATCGGTCTCCTACCAGGAGGTCTGATGTGTGGACGAGAATGATCATGATTGGTTGTCTGCTTAGTCAGACATGTAGATAGTCTGACAGGTGTCAGATAAGTTATATATTCCCTTATCCTTACTATTGTGACACATATACATACACTTATTATTGATTGTTCATTATTGTGGATTGTGTCGGTTTTGGGTGTGAAAATATACTTACGTTCTGGTCAGACTGATTACGTGTTCTTGATCTGAGTTGTGTTGAAGTCCTGTAGAATAGACACTGAGAGGGATCTATTGTAGATAATCGTTTAAACGTCATAACTTTAGACGAAGTAATACCGAGCGTTATAACAAGGTCTACTTATCAACTTAGAATACATAGATGATATAGTCCTGTTTGGTAAAGACGATGATAAAATACAGTCTTTTGTTAGCACTCAGCAACAATGCCAGGATGTTGGGATGTGTTTCTACCCGTCTAGATGCAAGTGGTTGCTTCAGGACTGGTCTGCGTCAACACCTGAACTAAGGATAGGAAGTGAAGCAGTCGAACGCGTCGACAACTTCACTTATCTTGGAAGTCTGATTAGCCCTAATGGATTGGTGTCTGACGAAATCTCAGCACGGATTCGAAAAGCTCGTTTGGCTTTTGCCGACTTACGTCACCTATGGCGAAGGCGAGATATCCGTCTATCAATTAAAGGACGAGTATACTGCGCAGCAGTTCGTTTTGTTCTACTTTACGGCTGCGAAACGTGGCCACTAAGAGTAAAAGACACTCGTAAGATACTAATATTTGACCACAGATATCCTAGAAATACTGCTCCCATCCGCTGGGATCACCGGGTAAGTAATAGTGAGATTAGACAGACACAGGGTATTAGAGAGTGATGGTAAATCAGTTGGAGGTTGTGTATCTTCATCGACTAAAGTGGTTGGGTCACATATTACGTATACCTGAACACCGATTACCACGGCGTGCAATGTTGACTAGTGTCGGAGACGGTTGGAAGAAAGTTAGGGGCGGCCATACCAAAACGTGGCATCAGTCCATAAAGTCACTAACTTCTAGTTTGAGTCATGTTGGGAGATGCAGACTACGTGGTTGGGGTCCGCGCGACTATCGTAAACAATTGCTGGAAACTCTGGGTAACATGGCTCAGAATCGATCACAACCGCGTAGGTGTATACACTGATTGTCTTCCCTTAAATCGTGAGATTAAAATTATTTTATACCTTTCCTTCTACCAATTAATTCTTTCTTCCAGTATCATATCCCGACAGTAGCTGCCACCTTGAAGCGGTGGTCGGGTTTGCCTATCGTGATGACCAGACCGAGCTATATTGGCTGGAACATATGTTCCTGTAGGTCCTACCATGCCAGGCAGGTTGATTGAAGAACGGTAAGACTAAAAGCATCAAACCACAGGTCTGAGGGCTAAGTCGTACTGCTGACTGTAGAGAGGTGTGACAACAGTAAGGTGTTTCCCTCGGACAACCAGTATCTGCAGCGGTGCTGCCTTCTCACAAGCAAGGAAGGGGTTAGAAAAGGTTGACCCTAAAAATGTTACACCTCACCTTACCTCACGGATTTCCTTCTCCATTGGTAATGCCCTTTGAAGGACGGAGCTAACACATTAAAAACCTCCCACGAAAAGGCCGTGGGCGACCGGCCTCAAGCAGTTGTCCCTTGGGCCCTGTGGTCACACTCCCAGGTCTTTAAGACCAACACTAATCCGATTACCTTTTCAGGTTCCTCAAGAAATACCCTTCCACGGTGTGGGCAGCCAGGAAGTGACATCAGCCCTCATACCCGTAACAGCACACGAGACCAAGTTGGTCACATTCAAATCCTTCCTACACCCCCTAATAACTCTCTTATCTCCACAACTAACCCTTCTCATGTCCCTTTATCACCTCGCACCGCTAAGATAA